ATAAATAAAAATTAAATTAAGTAAAAAATTAAAATATTTTTTAAAATTTTTCTCGTTAAAATATTTCTAAAATTATTCTTATATAAGATAATTATTCATATTTAATATAACAATTTTAATATTATTTCATTCCATCCTACTTAATCTTTAAACATAACTCAATAATCTAGCCATGAAAATAACATAGTTTGATCTAGTTACCAAGTAATTTTAATAGTTAAATATGTAATTAAAAGTTGATGTTTAACCTTTAAAATAATATATATATATATATATATATATATATATATATATAATATAACATTAAATCGAGCTTGAACTATATATATATATATATATATATATATATATATATATATATATATATATGTGTGTGTGTGTGAGATAAAATAATATATTAAAGTGATTGTATTTTAATTGTATGGAAAACACTTATCCTTTAAATAAATCCTAATATTAAGATATTGTTCTTTAACTTACAATGAAATCTGAATTCATTAAAAAAAATCACATATAATTGATGATTTATTTAATTTATATTTTAGAAAATTAAGGTGATTGTATTTTAATTATTTTTACTCAACTTAATATTTAAATTATTTTTGTTATATTTTTTAAAAAAAAATTATTCAAATTAGTTCTATATAATTTTACCAATATTTCCTATAACGTTACTCTCTTTTTTAATTTAGCAAAAGTTCTGTTATTTTTATCTATTTATTCACTTTCATAATACCATTCAAAACTCAAGATGGATCTCAACTACGATATATTTAATAAGTCATTCTAGTAACTTATAACTTAGTTTAACTAAAAGTTTTTGTATGATAAACGAATTTTATTTGGTAAGATACTTCAACTAAGTTAGAAGTTATATAGCAAAAACTATAAGAAATTCCAAAGGATAAATAGAAATCATGATGGGGTAGTACTACTAGTGGTGATGCATGAGCCTAGAGATCCTAGACTTGGGCTCACTTTTGTACTTTCTTCATATAAGTTTCAAATACTACTATCTATCTCTTCAACATTAAATTATCATACGGATAAATAGCTCACACATTAAGACAAACCAATTAGAAGCTGCATTACATCCTATATCTTCTTATGTAGTCAATTTAACCTTCAATGTTCTTGTTACACACACAAATGGCATTACCTAGTGAACCTATGCATCTCTACCACATGGCCTTGCTACTCCAAAATTCATTATTTTTCAATCAGGGATGAGATGTGATGCAATTTTTCTAAATCAAACCTTTATAGAATGTAGAATAATTGCTTTTCTGTTTTCTTTCTCAAGCCTCAGCATCTTCCCATAAATTCTTAAGTGAAAGACTTTAACTAGGAAGGAAAATGCGCAACTCCTGTCGCCTCCTGTTTATATAGAATCAATTGCGACAGCAACAACAAGATGTTACGACTTTTGGACCATCAATTACTCATAATTTATCTTAAACTTCTTTTAGCAACAGATTAAGGATTTTTAGTGTACAACTGTAGATCATTACCAACTTAATCACTTCATGCTTAAAAAGCTCCACCACAACAACATTTTAATTTTCTCATATATTTCTTTTCCATAAACTTAATGATCTCATTACTTGATGATTAATATGACACATATGATCACATTATTAGTTATGTGTTACCCGATAAATATGTCACTTAAGAGTTAATATGTTATGTAAGATCCATTCAATAACAAGTGATGTACAAATTAAATTTTGAAAGATTTTTTTAAATAAAAATATTGTATGTTTGTATTTTTGGATTAAGGATGGTAAAATGAATCAATCCAATCATTTTAGACCTGTATCGCGTCAACTACCAAAAATAGGTCAAGTTCGAATAACCCACCAAGTGAAAATGGGTTGGATGTCCTAGCTAACTCTACTTGAGGGTGGATTGACATATCGACACGTCAGCTCTTCAAGAAGTTAAAAAAAAAGGATTATTTATTTATTTATTTATTTTGAACATCTCTTTCAACATATTTTTTTTCCAATATTTAACCATCTACTTGACAAAGATGAGTTTGAGGGGAGGAGGGTGGATTTGAGTAGAATTATAAAAAGACAATCATGATTGGTAAAGGGAAAAAAGAGTGGATTTAAGTGAAACTTAGGTAAGTCCTGCATGAAAAATACTTACATTAAAAAATTGGGAGGGGGGGGAGGATTTGAGCTAAATTTATACCAAAGAAATTAATACCCCATTTCTTTAAAGTGCATGTGATTAGTCAAATATGTTGTGTATGTTATATTGTGTATGATGTTCAAATATGTTTTACAATATATTTGAATATGGTTACATATATTGCATTAGGTTCAACTATATTCAAATATGTTATCTATGATATTCCACCAATATTTGATTATGATATATGATATTTGACTATGTAGCATGTTAATCGGATATGGTAAATGATTATATTTCATATTAGATTATGTTATTTGTGATATTGGCATATGGTTGGCTTTCTGACTATGTTCATAACAAACTAACGTATTCACCATATTTCAATACGTTATCACCTTAATGTATTATGTGAATAAAAAAAATGTACCAGCAAATATTAATGCATGAAAGAGTAAAATGGTAATTATATACATATATACACACATAAAAATCTAACTTAATTAAAATACAATTTTAAAATATCAACTTAATATCATTCTGTCAATCATTTATAAATTCTACTATATTTCTTTTACCTATTTTCTATCAAATTAATTCACACACATATTTCTTTCCATTCTCTCCAGTTCCTCGCCCTCTACTAAGTAGGGGGTAAATGACTCACATAATTTAATATATCTATATAACAAACTAAATATTAAATCAGAAAATATTTGGTTTAATTTAATACAAAATAAATATAAAATTTGTTACATAAAATAATAATAATAATAATAGCTCTTTCAATAGATTTTTTATAAAAAAAAATAAAATTAATTACATATAATAAAATAAATCAAATATATAACATATTTGTTACATAACAAATCAAAGATTATTTGCATAATAAATCTAACTTATTTAAATTGAACGTTAAAAAAAAACAATAAAATAATAGTAAATATAGGTATGCAAACGAACCAACTTATCCTAACACATCGTTTAACCCGGTGGACTGTTAGATTAGACAAGTAAACTGATAAAAATACATATTATAGGCTGCCAATTCTTTATGGATCAGTAGGTTGATATGTTAATTTTGGATGAACCAACACATTGGTGCGCCAATAAATGCGTGTTTGATTTTTATTTTCAAACGTAATTTTATTCTCTCCAGTTAATATATTAATTTATGTAGAAGCTGTTATTTTTAACTTTTGATTAAACGTGTAACTCCAATTTAAACACACTCTAGCTTGTTTTGTCACGATATTTTGAATTGAATGGTAAAACTCATAAAAACATAAAACCCTTTTCGTTATAAATCTTGTCTTATAACACCAATTATTAATTAATTATAATTGTCGGCATGATTGTTGAATTTAAAAACTAATTATCCAGCTAGATGATGAATTTCACCCCGTTTGCATCAGTTTAGGTAGAGTCCAGATGGTGAATCTTTCATCTGTCGGTATCAATTTAAATTTTGTTGATTATTGGCTTTGTTATTCTATAGAACCAAGGTGATGTCATCGTCTACGAAATTAGTATATATTATGCTACTTGTTTTTTAATTACCAATGTTTCGTTTACTATGACAAAGCATATGCATTAATACCTAGCCCTGCTTCAACCCCTCGTTAGATGTGATAGAGATATCCACGTACTTGATAATTTAAATCTATAGGCTATAGATGCGGGTAACATGTACA